AGATTATAGTAACTTACATGATCACAGCGCACACAAAACAAAACCCTTCCCACATGCTGAAAACCATGAGAATAAAGTGCACAGGTAATCATCAGGTTAGCTCTTCATTCAGCCTCAGGACATGGACGGATTAACCTCCTAGGGGGCAGTGGGGTCCAAATGTGTTGTTGGGCCCCCAGTGAACCCCGCTCTACATGGCAGCTTCATCATTTCTCCACACAATCATCAAGTGTTGGCCATGCTAAAAGACAATCGACCTTGTTTATATATAAGTTGTTGCTGCTAATGAACGAGCGGTTCACAACATATTTACGTTAAACATATACGTGGAAATGACAAGAAATCTGAACCTGAACATCAAAAATTTAATGTGATGCAAAGGTGCTGTTACTGACACTGCTTCCTGTTCATGTTAATGTTTTTGCATTTCTTCAAATTAAATCTTAACTGAGGGTTAAAATAGAATATTTGATTGTTTTTTTTGTTTTTTTTTAAATAATAAAACCCAACAGGATAACTGGCCCTCCCTTGACCCCACCTGACTGTTCAAATAAAAAAAATAAAGTTAAAAACTATATTAACAAATAAGATAACAAAATAATATTATATAAAAAGTGAGTGCTCAAAATAAAGCATAAGTCACCATTAAATGAGGTATTGCACAAGACATAAAGTGAGATCGCAAAAGTAAACACTACAGAGACATCATTCCAAATATTTGGTCATGGCATATATACGAATGATCAATTATTAAAATAATTGAATTAGTTAATCTTTTTGTCTGTCAACTAATCGATTAACTGACTATTCAGTGCAGCTTTTCTAAAGTTAGTGACATGGAGTGAATTTGGGACAAGTGTCTGCCATGTCCAGCTGATCATCCAACTTCGCTTTCACAGCAAAACTAGCTCCTGTGATATTACATCATATTATACCACAGGAAGTGTTGATAAGATCCATACGAACTTTGTCACACTATAAATCCTTGTTTTAAACACCAGGGAACTTGTGAGGAAAAAATAAAGTTTAGACAATTTAACTACAGTCAGAGAGCACCTGAAACTGACCTGGACGGAGAAAGGAGAACATCTTCATTATGCACGGCAGGAATCTGTCAAACTTCTCCACATCAGACGACACGAGCAACGGAGGTGTGCGCGTACGTTCCGGTAAACTGATTCATTTCCCCCCTCTCCTCGTTTCCTTGTTGTTTCCAGCGGAGTTTATGGAGAGCAGGAATGTCCGGCAGGTTGGACATCGTCCCTCCGAGTGAAGGTGTTGACTCACCGGACAGGTAAGTAAGGAGGACGAGGGAGGAAACCACCTGAGGACAAAGTCACACACAAGGCCAATGTTTGACAAATGAACCAGTTGTTTCTCCGGTTTCTACCACGTGACCCGGTTTATATGGCGAAAGTCTGAGCTGATCCCGAACTTGGATTCAGGAAGATTTACAGACTATCAAAATAAAACAGATATAAACCAGGTTATTATTTCATATTCATAACTACATCTTTAACCAAAAATTCACCTTTAACCCAGAAATAAAAATAGTTTATTCACTTATCCACTATAGTCAAGTTACATTTTCTGTGTAAAATATGAGATTTTTGCTTGTTTACTTTCAAAATAAAAGTCTCAGCAAGGACCATGGTTTGTTTGCGGCTACAAGTTTCAAAATAAACCTTTTATTTAGGTGGGAATATATATTTTGTTTTGATTTATTATTTATTATTTTATTTAAATAAACATAATTTTTTGTCGCACAATTTAGATTTTTATTATTTAATACTCATCTGTAATTATGTCTCAAGACCCCTCGCTGGTTTGGAACCACAAACCTAATGTATTGCCAAAAAAATAATAAGGAAAATAATCTAGCTATGAATCTGTATTAATGCATATGTTATAATCCCCAACCAGCGCAACAGGATTTTAGATTAGATCTGAAACGATTAGTTGATTGAAAGAAAATTAATCTGCAACTATTTTGACAATCAATTAACTGTGTAAAGCACTTTTCAAGCAAATATTAAAAAAATGTTCTGGTTCCAGCTTCTCAAATGGAGGAATTTGCTGGATTTCTTTGTGGTATATGAATATAAATAAAGCATATGAAGTTATTAAAATATCCTTTGGATTCTGAGCAGTTGGTCGGACAAAACAAGACATTTGAAGACAACACCTTTTTTCACAATTAGGCTATTTAACATTTCATAGATTAAACAGTTTTGATCAGATTGATTGACAAAATAATCAGCAGATTAATAAATTTCAAATATACTGAAAACACCCCACATAGCTACATACCCTGGCCCTCAGAAAATTAAAAAATAACAGTGTTAACAGTGTTTGAATTATTTGGATTTGTCATATTTTATTCAAGGTAACTGTTTAATTATAAATTCTGTCATGTTTTAGATACATTTTTCCAACATGTTTTAAACAATAGTTCACTGCAAGGAATAAAATCTTCCTTTATTCATGTATTTTTTTGGTATGCCTAAAAGTAGTCCAAATTTAAACATTTAATTTTAAAATATAACAATCAGCGTTGTACTATGTAATTCCCCTTAGAGGAGTATACAGAGGACATGACCTCCCCCAGTAGCTACTGCACAGCAGCTGTGCAATAGCATGCTTTCATACAAAATCTATATAATGACTAAGATGACAAAATGAATGTAATCCATGATAACATCATGCTATTATGAACATTATCTAATTTGTTGCCTATACATGCAAAAAATATACAGACTCAAAAACTTACCAGTCATCTTGTGGTGGTGCCACCTTGAAAATGTGCAGTTACCTCCTGCTGCAGGTATTTGTACGCCCTCTAGCAGCAGAAAGGAGTGTGTTTTGTTGTCCTACAGAGAGATAAAATGGTCTCATACTTAGGCAGTGGGTGCCCACAACACAAACAGCCACTAGGTGGCGACAGATGCTGACTGATTTACATTCAGGAGAAGTGTTTGTACCAAACACACTTAAATTACACTTTACTGTCCAGGTTTGAAAGAAACACCAACCACAAACCAAATGCTGTACAATTTTACTAGTGGCTCCCAGTGATGAATTCTAGCTGGCAACCTTTTCTGACAACCTGTGTTCAGTCATCCTCCTCTAACCCCAATATGTCTTTCTCACAGCAGACATTTTGACGTGCGCAGCAGGAAAATCTCAGGTGTTTCTAATAACATTAATGACGGATCTATTCAAGAGCCCCATGGAAAGTACTAGCACCCTGAAACTAAATCAACTACATGGAATTCAGCCATTATTTATTGTATTATTTACACCTGTGCTTTTCCTGCTGCGACCTGTCAAAATGTCTGCTGTGAAAAATGCCTGTTACTGTATCATCACTGTGACTTGTACAGCAGTGGTTGGCCCTGTTTGTTAGTTAAACTGTTGAGTTTTTGCTTTTCAGCCATACTATTGGCCTGTAGGTCCTGTTTTGGTCCACACTGAAATATCTCAACTACTATTGTATAGATTGCCATGAAACTTGGTTCAAACATTCATGTTCTCCAGTGGATGAATCCTAATTACTTTGGTGATCCCCTGATTTTTCACTAGCGCTACCAGTGGTATCAATGTTTTCACTTATGCAGTGAAATATCTCAACAACTACTCAATGGATTGGCACAAAATTTGATACAGACATTTATGATCCTCAGATGATAAATCTGACTTGACAAAAACTTTCTTGTGATCTCTGGACTTTTCCTCTAGTGCCACCATGAGGTCGACATTTGTGGTTTTGTGTAAAAGACTGATATTCATGGTGCCCAGAGGATGAATAACTTTGGTGAACCCTTAACTTTTCATCTAGGGCCATTGTGAATTCAAACTTTGTCCAATAGTTTGGTTTATGACTATATGCTGTACTTTGTGATTAGTTAAGGATAGCAAATGTTAGCATGCTAACACACTAAAGATGATATGGTAAACATTATACCTAGTAAACAGCATGTTAGCATGGGCAGTGTGAGCATGTTAGCTAGTTGTCATCATTCTAGTTGTTGTGTTTATTCGAAACAAAGAACTGACCCTGGTAAACATCAGCATGTAGCACTGTCACTGTGAGCATGTTATTATGCTATATTAGCGTTTAGCTTAAAGCACAGCTATGTAGCAATTACCGATTTGCAGAGCTGCCAGCATGGTTTTTGAGTCTCAGTCTTGTTTTGTCCTTTATTTATACAAGCACCACTATAGCATCACTATATGTATGATTATAATATTCCTATTGCATTCATAACATATCTGTGGTGCTCAACAGTAAATTTATTGTGATATTCTTGACCTGAATTATATTATCCTATCCTATTATCCTATATTCGGAGGGTTTATATTTCCTCAGTAGATTTATACTTTGTGATATCTGTATCACCTCCTCCTATAGGTTATTACAGGAATGCAAAAGTTCTCTTTTGTTGAGGAAGGAATCTAAAAACTATACTGTCCAAACTATAAGAGCTGCAAATATTCTTTGTGCTAGGGCTGCAAATAATGATTTTTTTCATATAGTTAATCTGCTGAATATTTTTCTCAATTAATCGTAGAGTCTATAAAATGTTTGGAAATAGTGATGTATGAGCACAGTTTCCAAGTCTACCCCCCCCTTTAAAAAAATATTGAATTTACAATGAGAGTTTTTTTGATTCAAAAGGACTCAAACAACTAATTGATTGTCAAAATAGTTGCTGATTAATTTTCTGTCGATCTACTAATTGATTGATCAACTTCTCACTGTAGCCTTACTCTGATTAAATTACTTCTAACAGGATTTTCCTGCAAGCGATTTCATTTTACCTAAGGGAGACTTAAATAATAAATAAATGGAAAAAAAAACTAATGTAAATAAAGGATGACCCATTTTATTTCCCTAAAACAGCATTACCTCACTACATTTTCACACAGGAAAACGACACACTCAGACCTCGCATGCTTTAAGCTACAGGTGGGGTAAAGAAAAAACAGAGTGAGACTGATTAGTAAGAGATCATCTGATCCCCATTTTTAATCCAATAGTTTACTTATTATCAAATCTGAATCAGCACACAGCAGCAACAATCTGTATTTTAGCTGAAATAGCTGTAACACACTGCCATTTGTCGTGTTGACAAAAAGTTGGTGCAATGAAATCAGATGTTTCTAAAGTGTTTATTTTGGCAAGCACCATTCGAAATAGAGCAAATTTGTCATGTGCTTATGTTATGTGATGAAGAATAAAATTATATACCCATGCAAAATTCCCTGTGAAATGTACATACGTATCTTTATTGCAGAAAGGTTAAGTGTCACTGAAATCTTATTGATTTCTTTTTTTTTTCTTTTGTATTTTTTTTCTCTTTTTTTACTTGTAATGACTTATTGTTCTGTTGTCTCCTCTGTGTCTCCCTCATGTTGGTTTGTTTCAGTTTTCGGTCTATTTACCAGCATTGGTTAGCTTGTAGAAATTTTAAGATCATTATACATAGTTGTCTGGAAATGCTTGGCATGTATGGAGTTACATGATTTCCTCTAAAATCATACATCCGTACAAAATCAAAGTGAGTAAAAAACAAAACAAAAAGAATAGATACAAATCAAAACCAAGAGGATCAAAAACAAAAAACAAAAATGTCTCTGTGCATCCTGATATTGAACTGGAAAAATCGTCTCATCATCTTGGACTAGGTTACAAAGCCTGTTTACCCCCCCCCCCCCACATTTCATGTTTGGTGTCTTTTAATGCTTTTTCGTCCTTATTTTCACATCAGTTCTTTAATTATTGAAAAGGAGCATCTGGCTTCCTTTTGTTGTACGAAACAAGAGGAGAAATCCTCAAGTGTGTGCTGTCTGTTGATGCTCCGGGCATCGCTCAGCTCCTCACAGGGCTCCTGTTGCCTACATGAGTCTTTATTATTTAATATTAGGTCCATAAGTCCCTCCACTCATTTACATCTGGACGCAAAGACGAGGTCTAGCCCATCCGCACATGCCTGGTTAGACTCATACAGTGGTGACCCTCATCACCACCTCTCGGTTGGCAGCGGCACTGATCCGCGGATCGTTGGGCCTCAGTTGGCTCAGGATGTGCAAGATGGTGTACCCACAGTGGTGGTTCAGAATAGTTCTTAGCCTCCTGCTCTGTCGCCCACCGCTGCTGCTGGCCAGACCGTGAGGGTTACTGCGAGAGCCACGAGCCCCCGTCTTACTGCTCGAACTCACCGGGTCACCCAAGTCCTTTGATTTCTCATAGTTCAGTACTTTCCATTGCTGATTGACAGCCTGCCATCGTTTGAAGATTCGATACACTGAAGATCCCTCATGGATGATGAGGCCTGGACAGAAAAAAAAAAACCGAAGGAACAGGGTGAAGGACAGCACATGAAAGCCAATGAATTCCCAATGCTTTACATCAAATATTATGCTAAAAGGGCCCACGAGCTGCAATCAGCTTCATAGGTAGGAACTTTCCATCTCGCTTGTGGATGAGATTAGACAGTTGGCAATAATCACAGTGCAGATATCTGATGCCATCTGTTCTCAGTGTTGTCTTACACAGGCAACTCACAATTACACATTAACAGTCGACCAGGTTGCTCCTAGAAAACAGAATCTGTTATTCTCTGCGATATCATCAAAATTTGCTTGGCTGTTCTCCTACCTATATGCGCCATCTGCTTATTTAGTTTTGTAATTTTGTTATGACCTTAATGACCAACAGAATGTTAAATGAATACATCTTTTTGTCATCATGTTAGTTTGTCCTTGCATAATGCAACCAATGATTACTAATATTTTTGTTGCTGTTCAAAAGCACACCCTGCTTTCTTTGCTACTCTTCTTGTTGCATAATGCATCTCACCTAAGCCTTCTACTGTGTGCATCTTTTCATGTGATATTCTCATACAATTTATCTGTAACTGCTGCTGCCAGTGCTATTTAGAATGGCTTTTGTTTGTATATTTTATTGCCTGTCCTTTACCTATGCAGACGATATCCATGAAGCCGTACATGCCGTAGCAGATTTGGAAGAGCAGGTCCTGACGCTGCCACTTGGCTGAGGGGCTGAGGGAGGACCAGATGAGCCAGGAGATGCTGGCAATGAGGAACAGGGAACCCAGAATAATGGCAGCGATCTGCACCTTCTCAATCACTGTCAGGGAGATGGCTTGCCACTGGAAAGGAGAAGAGAGTCTAAATCAGTGGTGGAAGAAGTGCGCAGATCCTTTGCTTAAGTAAAAGTACCAATACAACAATGTAAACAGTCTGAATTATAAGTAAAAATCCTGCATTCAGAATTCTGCTTGAGTCCAAGTTCATTTTGGTTCATTTTTATTGACTTTCTCACTCATCATTGCATCCTGTACAGAAAGGTTAGGGTGGTCCTCTCTCTGAGAGGCCAGACTTGCATACGTATTTGTTTATTCACAACGCCCTTATTGGAAAATTGGAAAGCTGCCTTCATATATTACCTTCATGTTAGTTTAGTCTACTGCACCACATTACACCAGGACTAATGACTGGCTTACACTCCATGTCCCTTGAGTTCATACTGAGCTTGGAAGAACTGCTTTTGGCTTCTTTGCAGCCTCCACCTGGAACTCACTACAAGGTCTTTAAAAATGAATTTGTTGGTACCTCTTGGTCATTTTAAGTCCGTAATCTCAAACCTTTTAACTTCTATTTGTACCTGTTTTAATTAATTTTATGTTACATTATTTATTAATTGTTTATATGTTTGTTTTCATTGATTGTTTTTCTTTTATCTTGTATCTTTATCATTTTGTATCTGCTCAATATCATTGTAAATGAGAGGCTTTGCCCTTAATGACTTTCGAGTTTGAAGAAAGACATATATATTAATTTTTGTCTTCTTTATTACCTTTTAAACTGCCCTTACCCCACGTGCATGGTATCCCGTTTCAACAGGAACTCATTTAGAAATCTGAGCTCTCATTTTGTTATTTTAACAAAGCATAAAGCTGCCAGGGTTGTAAATATATTGTTTCATTACACAGAAAAATGGGAGAAATAAAACTATAAAACAAAATGATTTTATTGCAACATTTTGAGCCTTTTTGAGTCAATATGTCTCTGTAAATCACTCAGTGTATGGTTTTCTCAGCTTGACTCTACATGGTATATACTGTATACACACAATAATAAATATGTCAGACAAACCAACAACCACACACACATGGCACCCTCTCAATAGGTTTTAGAACCATTGGCTGCTTCTGAAAAGGGGGGCAGAAGGACAGTGACGCAGAGGGAAAATGTGTCAGCACAATATGGCAAACAGTCCTGACAACACAGCGATGGCCCAAGATTTGTTCTAGCAAACAGTGTTGGGTCTGATGAAGCAGCATTTGTACGTTGTGTATGTTGATATGAAAAGTTGTGTCAGCGGCAGCAACTTGTTTTACTCCATGCGATAATGAGTTTAAAAATACAACACCTCACAGAGCAGAGCAGCATTTGTGTTTACTTTCATGTTGAGACAGAGTTTACATATTCACACACTTATCAGCATCTTGTTTACATGATATTTATCCAGTACCCTGAATCCCAGTCAAAAAGCATGCTGGATGTGTTTTGAAAGGAAACTGATGAGGAGACTTTTTTGCCAGACCGAACTGAACAGAGCCATGCTGTGCTGGCCTGTTTGTAAGTACACTCACATGTGCAGCATGAGTCAGATTCATTTTGGACAGGAACAGTATCAGTGCTGCAGTGGCTTTTTAGTTCAAATTCTGCAACAGTAATAATCCAAGCAGGGAGTGTGAAGTTGTTTTCATAAAGATTGTTTTTCTCGTTGCTGAAATGTGTAACTCAGCAGCTGGTGTGGTTGTTGTTTATGTGTGGTGCAGATTCCCATTCATGTTACCTGCAGAGGGTTCTTCGTGCTGATGGCCAGGACCTGGTACTTGAAGTAGCAGAGTTCGCAGCTCCAGGAGCCTCTCTCGCTGATCCAGCGGATGAGGCAGGGCTGATGGGTGCAGCGCACAGAGCCGTCACAGCGGCAGGGGCTCAACAGCTCGCCCTGCAGGACAGACAGGGAAAACACAGCAAGATGAATTCAGTGGAAAACAAATATTATTAAAATATATTTATTAAAAAAACCTTCTCTCTTGGAAGGAAAGCAAATGATCATATTTCCTTAAATGCTGAACTATTCCTTTAATCATTACTAAAGAGGTAAAATATAAAGAATTTATGGTGATGTAGCCTGATCAAAACATCTTATCATCACAATTTTATCTTGATATCTTAATAGAATATGCACTACCAGATCGCACAATAGAAGCCACATTTATTGCAAACAATGATGTGTTCCACTTATATTCCAGCCACTCTCAATATTTGAAGCAATAAATAAAATAAACAAACAAATAAACCAGTAGAACAGCTAATAAAAGCTGTGCTAAACTCACATAAGGGAGTTTAGTTTTACAGGCATAAACAAAGCTTTAAGTGTCTTGGTTACACATTGGTTGTAGACAATGAATGTGTGCAGAGCTGGTCATATTCGTAACACTGTAAACTACATGTGGTGCTAAACTTGCATTATAAGCTAATTTTATATGACACATTTAATTCTAGCATAGTTCTACTTTCTGTTATGATGCAGAATAAAGGAGTGAATATAAATATAAGACCGCCTCCTATTCTCCAAAAAAAAAAAAAAATCAGAAAAATTAGACTAACAAAAATTATAGTACCCTCCCCCTTTTCTGACCACCCCTCCCCTTCCTAATAATTTTCATACAGTCCCTAAGAGACAGGAGAATGTGGCTTTTGGGCCAAATCCACTGTCCCTTCAGCACAACGTCAGCACCTGAAGTCTGTTGGCTTATTTGCCACATTAAGGATGACCACACTCAGGCTGTCACCACCATTCATCGTCAAACATCCATTTAGCCAGACAGCTTAAAATGACGGCACGTTTTGGAGCAGACTTCTGCAAACTCGTCATTTCACTTAACGGAAAGCAAAAGAAAAACACACTGTTGAATGAAAACATTTAAAATGACAACATTGGGGGGGGGAGGGGGGGTATTATGGGAGTGAATCTTTAGTAAATCAATGAATGGGCACAGCTTGATGTGAGACCCAGTTGGCAAAGGGGCATGTAAGCACTCTGCAACAACAGCAGGGAGCGGTGAGGCTTCAAGGGCAGGCAGATGAAGGAGAAGAGAGCTGCCGAAGCCTGACGGCGATTCACACAAACTCTGAGTTAAACTCAGCCAACCTCATCACAAACTTACACCTCTCAGCTAACACAAACAGGTCTGGAAAACATCAAACATACACATTGACTGCCAGGTTTCCAGGTGTTAGATTCAAAGGTTGTGATTTTGAAAAGCAAAAACTGTTTGCAAACTGGACTAAGATATAAAACAGGGGCCAAATTTCCTGAGGGAAAAGTAAATCTAAAGGAATAGTTGAGAAATGCACTGATACTGCTCTCATGTCTGTATACAAAAAATATGAAGCCATACATCCAGGAGATGGTTAGCTTAGCTTAGCATAAACATGGAGAGCAGGGAGCAACAGCTAGCCTGGCTCTGTCCCAAACTAAACAAATTTACCTATAGTACCACCTCTGTAATTAAGATGTTGTTAAGATGTTAAAAAATGGTGTGGCATACTGTTTCAGAACTGCAGAACTACAGTTTTATTCAGGTGCAAAACTACAAAGTTTATTAATAAATTATGTGGCATCAGATTGGTGCATAGACAATACTTGATACAGTATTTAAGACAGTATCAGAGCCATTTCCAATTCTAGTATCATTATATATCAGAACAACTCTACTGTTTACCGTTTAGTGTCTTTCCCCAAACCCCACATGTCAAAGTAACAGAGTGTTACTTGGATTAGTTGGTGTACTGTAAGTACCAAATTTCAAATTGTAATCCCTTACAATAGTTGTTACTGGAAAAGTAATCACATTACTGTAACATCTTCATAACTAATGTTACTGCCCAAAACCGCAGGAGGGAAAACTTGTTGTTGGCCCCTACTGAACCACATTGTACTTGGTAGTTTCATTATTTCCTCAGACAACCAGAAACCAACCAGAAATAAAATGAAATGATTAGCTGATTAATCAGTTAGTTGATTAGTAAAAATTTAAGTCTTTTTCAAAGTAAAAATGCAAACGGTTCACTGGTACCATGTTGTCATATGTGAATATTTGCCAGTTTTCTGGTTTTCTATAGTAAACTTCACATTTTGGGCTTTTTGACAGCTGGTCTGACAAAATGAAGCAATTTGACTTTGTTAACTTGGGCGTCAGGGAAAAATGATGGACATTTCCACTATTTTCAACTTGATTATCAAAGAAAATAATTCAGACGTAGTGTTAATGGAAAATTATTGCTGCTTCAGCCTTCCAGTTCTCATATGATGGAATAATACGTTTCAAGACGTTTTCTGTGTGTTAATTAATTGAAGCACAGGAAAGGATTGAAGCAATTTGATAAAACATTTTACAACAAATGACTACAACACAAATCAAAAGAAAACAGTCAAGGTCTTAAAGCTACATGTTGACACAGAGTCCGTCTGTAAGACTGGGAAGACAAGATGGAGGATGGAGGGCCATATTCTACCTCAGTGGAGCAAATTTCCAACATATCAATGATTAATCAAATGATGTAGGCAGAAAGAGAGGAGTGTAACCCTGGGGTTTTGGGGCCCCTGGGAAGTTGTCATTTGCCCGGTTGAGAATCCAGCCTTGCTTATTGCTGGTAGTAGTATTATTTTACTGTGTACTATGGTGCCTCATAAGTCAGTGATGTGGCATGTCATACAACATTATTAATTGCTTTGGTCTAGAAGACTGAAGTTGTGGGTTTTCTCTGGCAAATAATGTTTGTAGTGGTACACACTTTATAGAGTGAGACCAGGTTCAGTTTATTGTGTAATAAAGTGACTGTACACACAATTTACTAACTCAAAAAATTGAATTTAGTATTACATTTGTTTTTTTTTTCTTCTTCGTATTGGTCACATAAATGATGGAAATCAAGTTTAATAAAGAGCAGATTAAAATCAGCTCATGTCTGTTTGCTTGTTTTTCTGTACAAAATTAATTAACATCAGGGCTCAAAATCTTTCACTTAACAAATGGTGACTCAGAAATGTGAATCAGAATACGTCTACAGTAACTTGCCAGAGAAGTGCCTGTTTAATCAACACAGGGTTTATGCACCAGAGAATTACGTTGACACAAATAATGCTTCATGTTTTTGTTTTTTTTCAGTCCATCTACACTGCATCGTTCCCCCATCTGGCTCGATTGACCTTCCCACTCATAATAAAAGACTTCAAGTGTCCCACTGTATAAAAGATTGGGTTTGGCAGATGAGCCACATGCCACTCGTAAACTTTAAAATAACTTGCCTGCTGACATTATAAAGATAACACAGAGAAGGTCAGAAGTATATGAGGAACTAAATAAAAACAATATGAAAGCAAACATTTCTAAAATGTCAAGCTGTCGTTGAGGTGTGTGTGTGTGTGTGTGTGAGTGTGTTATGAGGAAACATTTTCAGGCTGAGATGAGAAAGTTAATGTCATGATCAAGTAGAACAGAATAAAAACAAAGACCTTTAAAAGCTGTGATTATGATTTGAAACCATTACCTGAAACAGAGGCTGTTTGAGCAGAAAATGTGATATGTATGATGACCAATCATTTTATCTAAAGCCAAAATCAAGAGGAGTCTTTTCTGGAGCTCATCTATTTATGATGAATAAGAGACCGTGTTTTAGACCCATGTGGTACCCAAAGGGATTCTCTCTGGATATGCATCCAATTAAAACTATAAGGCTGAGTAATATGCAAAAGCTCATGTTATTTGCATTCACAGTTCTTCAAAGTGTCTCCTGAGTTGATCCCAAAATAAGGTTCAAGATTCAAACTCTTAGGCAATGTTGTTTGATGTTCACAATAATTGATCATCCTGCTCAATATTTCACAGGACGTGAATGTGTGAATTTAGCTTCAGGAAACCAAACTGAAGGTGTGAAGGTTGTTTTTGATGCACAGCAATCTAAATGACTTAAAATGTAATTGCTTTTAGATGAGAACTTTGTACTACATCTCTGAAAGAACCTTAGTAAATAAATCTTATTTTGAGCTTCACACACTGGAAAATATTTGACATATGAGGTTTTCTCAACACTAACAGAAGTGAAAACACAAGGTTATTCTAGATAATAATACTAATAAGTTTTAAGGGTGTTTTTAATAATCTACATTTTTACATCAGTACTTTTATACTGAAGGGGCAAGTAAAAGCTGTATTCAACTGAATCAAATCAAATCGATCAATTAATTGAAAACAACTGAGTGAAAATGGAGGTGAAACACATTGTTTGTTAAATGCTTCTCTTTCATTTGCAGTTTCTCTCTTTTTAAAGCCAGTGCCTTTACCTGAGGGCAACACACAGTAAAAAAAAACACATAATGAGACTTAAAAGGTCACATCTGGACTGGCAGGATGTAGTCATACTAAAAAAAACTAGAGCATGTAGTGATATAGTGTGTCTGAGTGAACAATGAAGTCAGTTGTAAAGATACATCACTCTTAAAATAAACCTACTTAACCCACCTAATTTTACATTATAAGGCTGGAATTTTTTATAGATTTTATATTTTTCCTACTGTCAACAAATCCCTTGAAAAAAACAAAACCAGTTGCTCTCAAGCCCTAAGACCACTGCTTCCTTCTGAAGATCTTAAATCTTTAAAAACAGGTTAAAAAAAAAGATTATATAATTGTAAATAAAATGCTGAATAATTTGCTAAAACAGCTGGGCACTGTCATTTTTAGCAGATGTAACTTCAACAGCAGTAAACAGAGCATTAGGTGGGGACTATTTTCAGATGCAGTTTAACACACATTGGGCACTCTAGTGAGTATTTACAGTAGCCGGACTGTGTTTGTGGGACTTAGTCAAAATAAACTACAGTGTCCAGGTTCATTGTAATGACGAAACATGTCAGCCAGTGTAACACTGTGCCTCAATACTGTGTTGTTAGGGACTGTCCTCGACAACAGCAAAATATTAACGTTCAAGTGACAGAGTCCTCTAGTGGCCATAATAATTATGACTGTAGCAAAGGAAGAAGTAAAGTGACGTTTAAGTCCACACACAGAGGAGGTGGCGGTGGATGGATGGGTCAACAAAACAATGGATTTTAACATGGGAAGTAGCGCTTTGTTATTTTTGTTTAAATTCAATAGTCAACATTTTTTCTTTTAAGCATGATTGTTAACTGCATGTTTATTATTGTAACCACGACGACGAATGTCTTCTAACCTTAGAGAAATAACTTTAGCGAAACCCAAACCAGGTTGACTTTCTAACCTTAACTAAGTACTTATTTTAACCTAAAGCAAAGCGTTTTTATTGAAAGAGATTTAGATCCATGATGAGCAATTTAGCAAGAGCTAAAAGAGGAAACAATAAATATATTTTCCACTCATCTAAAGAAACCTCCTTCCTATCCAGAGTAGCTTTGGGTAAAACATAGAGCTAGAGAACATTCATACCCATGCGTTTGTCTAACCCCAACCAAGTAATTTTTGTGCCTAAACCTAACCAAATCTTAACCAAAACGCTATCACATCATGAAATAAACTTGTTTTTCAGTGATTTGTAATGGCTTTGGAAGGCACAGACAAAGGATATCGTCCAGCAGATAGGGGCATCAGATCAGGAAATGCTTATATATGTGTAGTTCTGTAGAACATGGACAAACAATGTATTTTGTCATTTAATCTAAAGGACTTCTGTTTTAGCCCTATGGCACTGAAGAATAAGAAATATGAGGCTTTGGATACACACACAATACTTCTATTGGATTTGTTGACAGGACAAATATAGAACATCCAAAGACATTAAATTAAAGACAAGGCCCTGTTCATTTTCCAACAAACATAGAGGCTGCTCAGCACCTCTACGCACACACAAACACTTCCTGCACGGATGATCTGGCGTGGGTTTGTCCCTCAAGGCCACTTCACAGAGCATGAAGGTGTTAATTTGGTGTGTCACTTCTATGACTAAGAAAATGGTCTTCCTCCACAGCCGTAACCTTTAGACCAAAATTTTTGGAAGTGCCTCCTCAGCTCCAGACTGTGTGTCCCTGGGGGAAATCGCTGTTGGGCACTACAAGAGTAAAAGGGCAGGCAGGGGTGATCACCGCGTCCACCGCCACCACCACCAAAATCACCTCCTCCACCGCCACCACCCCTCCTTACTCCAACTCTGTGCAAACCCAACACGGCCGGCCCCTCCGGCAGGCTCTGGCACTGCGTCTGTGAATCCAGACAACGCTAAGTGAAATCAGTGGCCCAGCTACTGTACCATGGAACACTCTGACACCTTTGACAGACACTTAATAAGAACTCATACTCAATGCAGCCCACAGAGCAAGGTGATTATGTCTGTGGGTAATTGGCCCGCTGACAGCGACATGATCCTGGCCCCTGTTGTGACCTGCTTGAATAATGAAATAACAATAAAATGGCAAATGTGCCCCCCCACCCCCACCCCCCCTGCACCCAAGGAGGTATGAGACACCTTCCCTTTGTACGGAACAGAAAATTGAGTGCTGTGGAGGCAAGAAAATATATAAACTAATATGACAGTGAGGAGCTGATGTAGCAGTGTAGTCTCAGGGTTTTCCCTCAGTGCTTTGTTTGCTTGCTCTTTGTCTGTAGCTAAAGAGGCAGCTCAGAGCCATGTTGCACGATGAGTCACCTTGCCGGAGAGCCCAAAGCCCAAAACATCAACCTATTATTAAGGGAAGATGTTTGAGTGGGCAAGACAGCAACCTGGGGTTGATCCCTGTCTGTAACATCAAATGGCCTCGTATCCAAAACAAGCCCTGAACTGATTTATACGCTGTCCTGTGGCTCTCCACTTTACTATGTCTCACAATAGAAACTCCAAGGCAGATGTCATAAATTAGCACATGGGCTGTAATAACACTATACGCCTATCCTAGTGACTAAGTGGTAATATCCATCTGTGCTCCTACAGGATTTACAGTGTTTCTAATTATCTCAGGCTTCAGGACTACCTGCTGAGCCAGGCGGCACAGGTTTCTGCACATCTGGTGAGACTGACATTTGGCCACAGACCAAAGAGATGCACTACTTATTGTTTTGTTTGAGCTCAGGAAAAACCAAGCACCAGAGAGGAAAAAGAGGAGAAATAGAAGCACACACACAAAAAAAGAAAACATGGATGACAAATTCATTTAACTTGTCATTCATCATCACAGTCAACACCATTGTCTGGCCAGGAAGCGTGATCATCAAAAGATCAATACTTGATCATCCTGTTCTGTGACAAATGTGGACGGGGGACAGTTGATTTACATTTACAAAATGATTGTGACTCATGCATATTCAGTCCCTCTCAGCCTATTTGTCATCCTGCAGACCTAATTGGCTAACTTTCTTTGTTGCTATGCTGGCCGGATTTCAGATGTGTGGGAACTGCTGCCTCGCCACCACTGATTAGCTTAGTTATGAAAACAGTGTTATTTAGATAACCAGATCACTGAGCAGTCATCTTTTGTCAGGAGATAAAAAGGGACAATATTTGCCTTTAAAATCAAAGGTGTGAGGATACAGGGTAGCAGATGCTGTGCAGATTGTGAAATCCTTGGAGGCAAATCTGTGGTTTTGGGCTATATAAATAAATCTGACTTGACTATTTTTTTACATGATTGTCAGAAACCTGGGCCTAATGCTAGATTGTTTTTTTTAAAGGAGGTGGGTGGGAGGAGGAGAGAGGGAGAGATGTAGGACAGGATGGTTGTAGTAGCTTCACTGAATCAGAGACCCTTTGTGATTTGCTGTGTAAAAAAAAAAAAAAATCAAAATGGCAGATTAGAATTAAGATCCTAGTGTGTGTTTGTTAAAAGAATACAAACTTCCTAAAATGCTGCTGATGTGGGGTATTTCATGCATGGTATAAGATGGCACCACAAAGGCTGTGTGCAGCACGTTTTAAGCACAGAGATGTGAAACAAACAGGCTGCCTGCCTCCCTGCCTCCCTGCCTGCCATCCACACAGGACGTGGCATCAGCATTAGGAACCAATTCTCTGCTGCATGTCTATACCTGCTCTGGGCCTTGGAAACAGATCCGGCACTGGGGGGTCCGCAGGCTGCTGGCGGTGCTGGCCAGAGACACGGCGTCCAGGCCCACTTGCAGCTTGGGCTCCTTGTCCTCAAACGCCAGGCTCCGGGGCCGCGGGTCGCTGCCGTAGTACTCCTCCTCGTCATCCCGGGAATGGCAGTCGACGAAAGGCGGCCAACCGCAGCCGCCCATCCCCAGACCTCGCATTGTGGTGGACCGTCTATCTGTGTCTGAGCCGGACTGTCTCGAATCGGATCGCATAAACACCAGGACTTTCAGTTCATTGAAAAACATGCGGATCCGATACTTGAACATGTTTGGCTACA